ACAACTCATTCTTCCGTTTTTCTGGAGTTAATATGCTCCTGTAAAGGGAAAACCAGTAACCAGGAGAAGTAAAGGAAAAGTTTCTCTTTGATCACACTTGACTGTTCAGAAGTATATTTTCTGTCACTTCACAAAATATTAGCAAGTAAGCAGACACTGAACATAAATTAAGGTCAGAGCAGGTTAACCTTATACAAAATTAAAGGAACCATCAACCAACATATTTATTCCAACACACCCATTTAATCTCTTATGGGAGGAGAATGATCCAGGAAGAACTATTCCTCATGAGACAGCTCTGATTGGTAAACAGCTCTAGTCCTAGCAGCACTAATGATTACATAACCTGCCCCAAGCACCGCTGGATAGAAGCACTACTGCACAAAATAAGCAGTTTCATAGAAAGATAACATCTCTACAGAAGAGCCATTCTTTCAGTGCCATTACTGTGTGACACAGAATGGCCTATGACTAAAATCTATCTGGACTTGCAATGTACTAACACTGAACTCCCCAACATGCACTCTGAGCATCTGCACTGATGTTCACCTGCAATGTGCAATTAAAGTGGCGATAAGTTTTAATGCATTACCAGAGTAAGATTCCTTGCAGAAATTACGCAATGCTTTTCATGGCATACTATGTAGCAGCCGCACTAAATATCTACTGATGTTATGAAATTCTCAATAATATTAGTCGCAGAGCTCTCATGCCATGGCAGTACACACAACACACAGGGCGAGACTGTGACACTTTGCATTACAACTATTTTAAGCCCTTACAAGACTTGAGTTCAGCAAGCAAATTAAACACGGGAAACACAATTTAGTCCAGCACTTCAGACCAAGCCCTGCACAAACTGGGTTCACCTGGCAGCAGGAAAATGCTTTGGCACAGAAAAAAGCGAGATGAAGAGCCATGGATGGACAGCTCCTAAAGGGGCAGGCAAAGAGATTTTAAAAGAATCATCCTTGATTTATACACACAGGCTAGTGACTTTGATTCAGTCAGGCCATTCACTTGGATGCATCAGCACTTTGGGGATGCTCATTATGCCGTTAACATGAGGGCCAAAGCCACAGTCTAACTTCATAGACATAATGGATCTCAGGATTACACTCTGAACGTTGTCTACTCAGAAACTTTAAGGCGTAGAGAGCTGCCACTGTTTAATACTAACCGGGAGCCGGCAAGGCGCACTGCGCGGTAACGTTACTAAGCACTGGGGCCAGCTCTGATAGCGCCACCGCCTGATCAGACAATGACCTAAAACAGCAGACTGATGTTAAAACTGCTATTTCATATTAGCCGAGGCGCAAATACAGTCGAGTTCCAAAACCTGAATGCCTGAGCATTCACAATTCAGAAAACTGAATTCTGCTGTAAGGTGTCAGTTGCATTAGCCAGATTAGCACACTAGCTAACCAAAGCGCCACGAGACCCGGCTAGGCTAGCTGAGCTGTCATTCAGTCAGGTCAGCTTTAGCAGTAGGCCTCAGCACCCAGTACCACGAGGAAGTTAAAGTCAATATAAATGTGACAAATAACATGAAAAAACAGGCAGCGCATATAAAACCAGACACTCACCGAAATAAATCCTAAAGCTCTTCTGAGACCAACACGCAGACTCCACTCTCCACACGCCGGTGCAATGAAGGAAGATTCGCGCAGGGTTCAGGCCGAGCTGAACCGCCATTGGCCAGTCGACAGTGACGCCCGATTTTACATCGTTCTTATTGGTTTACAGTGCTGTCAATCAATCAGGCAAGCCCGCTTTCATTTAGGTTTAACGTGGAGCTGGATGATGCAACTTCAAAGTAACAGTGAGTCATTTAGCACAAACAATAACAATCATGTGAGTGGATAACACGAATCACTAAGTAAAATACGTTTTATTGTACTATATGGCATTAAGTACCGACCACAACAAGCGCCTATATTAGCCTGAGGAAAACAAGTAGTCTCTATGTACAAATTTTATAATTTACTCTTCTGCTGAAGAGAGAATTTGATATGTTGAACTGTTACCAGAACTGTTCAACAAAGCAGGGGTTCTCAGCTGGACAGTGTGCACCAGACATTAAGACTGTCCAGTAGAAACAGGCTTTAGATCTTCTTCTGTTAAAAAGCCCTCACTTTGGGCCAACAATATTTGGCTAACTGCAAAATCCTTGGGGTTATTTCACAAAGCAGGACTCTTTACAGTCTCTCTTATCTCTCCTCCTATTGGGCTGTCCTGATTTTTGTCTCTCTGCCCTGCTAGAAACACCAGCATAGATCAGCATTCCTTGTCACCAGCAAAACCGGTATATCGCAGCTGTCAGAAAAAAACCTTGTATCTGCAAAATAATAACTTTGCAGGACAAGGAAAAAAAAGATACTTTACTTTTTATGTAAGTCAATGTAACCAGACTTTTTTTTCAAGTAATTTTGAGTCATTTCTTTTGGTCCATTCATCATGAAATTTACACACAACATAAGCTTTTAAATTATGTCAAAAACTGAAAGACAGGGTGAGAAATCCTGCTATACAAACTACTTTACATGTCAAAAGGTATGTGGACACCTCTTCCAATCAGTGGGTTATAAAATAATCAGTTGCCTATAAAATCCACCATACAGCCATGCAATCTCCATAGACAAACTTTGGCAGCAGAATGCATAACATCAAATATGCAGCCAAGCAAATTTCCTATTTGTCAAAGGATGCCACCGTTCCAACAAGTCGAAAACAAGTTTGTCAAATTTCTGCCCTGCTAGAGCTGCCCAGACCAACTGTAAGTGCTGCTACTGTGAAGTGGAAATGAGCAGTAACAGGTCAGTAATGAAGCACTGGGCCACAAGCTCACAGAATGATACCACCAAGTATTGAAGTATGTAGCATCATCTGTCCTCTGTCACAGCACTCACAAATGAGTTTCAGACTGACTTTGGAAGCAACATCAGCACAGCAACAGCTAATCAGGAGCTTTATGGATTTGGTTTCCATGACTGAACAGCCAATCAAAAGCACATTGGAACAGTGAAAACGTGTTCTCTGGAGTGATAAATCATGGGTTTAGCAGATGCTAAGAGAAAGCTACCTGCCTTAAATTCATACTGACAACTGTAAAGTCCCTCTTTGTTTCAGTGAAGTGAATTTTAAATGCTACAGCATACAGTGACATTCAAGAGAACTGTGTGCTTCGAGCTTTGTGGCGGCAGTTTGGGGTAAGCCTTTTCCTGTTTCAGCATGAGTCAAGCTGGATGATAATGCCTCTGTGAACAAAACAATGTCTATAAAGAAAGAATTTGCTAGGTTTGGTGCGGAAGCACTGGACTTACCTGCATAGAGCCCCAGTCAAACACCTGGCTTAGTAACTTGATTGGACATGAGGCCTGGTGGCAATGTACACATACAAATTTACAGACAAAACATCTGTACTCAAAACATCTGTTTTCTTAATCTTAACAATTTACAATCTTAATGTTTACCAGCGTTTGCAGGTCTCACACAGTCACACAGATGGCAGAGGGCTCTCTACGGGGGTCCAACACGAATGGGCTTCTATGGTGCATTTATGTAAAAAATTGTAATTTGTAAATGATTAATAATTTTTATATATACAAATGTAAAACACACATAAGAACATAAACATTTCAACACTGCTGTCATATTTTAAATGCTTTTAAACCCCAGTTTAAAGACTTTCTAATGCAGCCTTGCATTCACAACATTATTCAGCTGATTTATTTACTCACCAACTAATCAGCACTTAGCAGTAGTGACGTTAACGTCCAGCTGTTTAAAACCTGCTGTCTGAAGAAAACCAGGAATAATACAGAGCCTATCTAATAATATAGAGCCTAATTGCCTATTATGTTCATCTACTTTTCATAATTAAAATTAATTTCTCGGATGAATTGTGGGATCCCTCTAGCATGTTTTTTTCACATAATTTTGCTATAATAGACTTATAAAGTGTACGTTTTATTGACACTGAGGGTCTGATGGTGGAGATTTTCAAAAATGCTTTTTAGTTCTTAATATGGTCACAACGCTGACTACAGAATGACACAACTAGAGCTCGTTTATATGGAAGCACAGTATCAAAATTAAAATAAAAATGTAGAATGAAAAATGGCAATGCATTTGTATGTTTGCATTATCTTTTCCCGCTTATATATGCAATATTGAGCAACACTGCGGTCACGCGGTGAGTAGTGCTGTCACCTTAGAACAAGAAGGGCCAGGGTTCGATCTCCCGGCCGGGCCACTAGGGGATGTTCTGAGTACAGTGTCTGCGTGGGTTTCCTCCCACAGTCCAGACACATGCAGTCAGGACAACTGGACATGCTGAATTGCCCCTAAGTGTGAATGTGTGGGTGATTGTGCATGTATGTGTGTTTGACCTGCTATGGACTGCCAACCTGTCAAAATGTAGGAGAAATGACAAACTCTGAGGCATATATTTTAAACAATGTTTTTAAACAATTACTCCTATTGCTGTTGTAGAGCGCTGTGTATCCTATAGTACAGAGTATTTTACTAACATTTCATTATTTATAACGATGACTCAGTGTTAAATATAAATCAGTGTGGGGTGACAAGTAGTGAAACTATTTTTTGTGAAACGTATTAAAATTATGTCGAGTTTTCCGTGACCTGGTATACAGTGTAATTTATCTTTGTAACAGCAGGGGGCGCACAAGTACAGTAAACTTAGAGTACATTTATTTACATTATTTTATCACCGTTGCTCTGATCAGTGTTTTTCAACAGTATGGGACAAAAACATTATTAACAGCAAATACTGGATAAAGAAAAACACCGAAAAATGATATGATCTAGATTTTCACTCCTACTTTAATTTTTGTGAAACTGAAACACTTTTCCTCAAAGGTGGGAAAAAACATGAAATCAAGTAAAATCAAAATGTATTCATAGTAAGACACAAACTGCTTATACACAAAGACACAAAATATAGTTAGCAAAAATTATACAAGTTATACAAATAAAACAGCAGTTTTATCTTTAGTTATGCAGGCATGCAGTTATCAAGCAATCAGAAACATTTTCATGTTTTCATTTACAACATATTTCCTTTTAAAACTCCTTCCAAACGCCACTGAATTACATGTTTGAGACATTAAAGCACTCTCAGAGCTTTTTCTCCTGAACAATAATAGCAGCTTCACCCTTCACATCTCTCAGTCTGTCAGAGTCAAAGTCAACCAGTAATTTCCTCAGGCCAGCTCGAATGGGTTTAAAGGAGAACTTGACTGCAACATACTGGCCGGGTCCAATATCACCACTGTGAGTAAAAAAGACAAAAAAGGGATAATTTCAGTATCTAATCTAATCTCTTTTTTTTCTCCTAATCCAGAGTAATGATGATTGTGTAGGTTAGATTCTGCTACACATATAGAAATGTATGGAATGTATTTAACAGCCAATTAAATCTTTTCTTAACACCAAACATCATTTATCATTCAACACAGCAGAGTTATGACTAACAACTATGTACTGATTATATAGTGTAGTAAGTAACACCAAGTTTTTGCCTGCAGGTGACTGGGGTTCGATTCAGGCATTAATAATAATGTTACTTCTGTTGGTTGGCTTTGGAAAAACACTGGAAAAACAAAATTTTCCACAGTTGTTGAAATTCAATGTAGTGTGTAAACATCATAATCAAGTTTCAAAACATACTGTTCATACCCCAGTCCAGACGGTCAGAGCATGGAAACTTATATACAATAAAAGCTTGTTTTGCCTTCGCTGTTTTTGTGATGTTATGCAAACCATCATATTTACATATATCTGCCTATACAGACTTTAGCAGTTTAGCTCCACTGTGCACTCATTCACACGGAAGTTATAAAGTGTTTCAACCTAGATTGCTTTTTGAATGATGCACAATAAAGGGCCACCAATCAGAACAGAGCTGAAGGCAATGTAAACAAGAATTATGACCGATTCTGCTACATAAGATCTCATAAACATTATAATTTAATAATAATAAATAGAATATAAATAGTACACAAGAATAATGTATGGATATGGGCCCTTTTACACTATGTTTGGTTTCATCTGAAACATGTCTTTTGATAAGTGTAATATACAGTAAATTAAGTTCATCAGGTTCATATTGCCCTGTTTTCCCTTTCAGCCCAGCTTGTCTGTGCACAGGCCTGGTTACACTAACATCTTTACTGAATAATAGTTTGCAAGGAATGCTGAGGCCATATCAGAATTGTTGTTTTGGGAAGAATTTGTCCTGTGTTGGGGCAGAGAGTGCATGTTTATGCTGGCATCTCTGGCAGGTCTCTGTGTGTAGGAATGTCTGGCTCTGTAAGGCTTTTGCCATCCTTGGCCAGTGGTGTGAGACCCTTGCCTGGCACATTTTGTTTGAATGACCAAAGGAGGGGTTCAGAAGGTGTTTTGTGCATGATGTGGTACGACTTGGTAAGGAATCAGTCTCAGTGGCCAAGAGTAGTCGGAATAAGGCCTGAGCTCTTTACACTCTACATTTGGTCCTCTTCGCTTTTATTGCAAGTACTCTAAACAGCAAAGTAACAGCCTATAAAGCACACTGTTAAGAGCTGAAATAAGCTCTTAACAGCAACAACATTATTAAAGTCACATGCTAAAGATACAGGCCTGTGGTTGAAGGGCTGATACATACGGGGACTGGATCTCCTGCTCTTCTGTTAGTCCTGCACCCTCCACGGTAAACACACCTCTTCGGAGAGTGACAGGCAGGGGGTTTGTGAAGGAGATGATCACTGTCAGTTTGCGTGAGACCACAGCTTCTCCAATCGCCTGGGAAATTGTAAATATGTGCAAAAACAATCACAATACAATTACAACAAGACAATAAACATTACATGTAGTAGATCACTATTTACTGAATTTTGTTTTTGAAGTTTTTTGCACCTTAATACCTTAATATGGAGCTTAGGCATTTTTAAAGGGATGTTGACTTCTTGCAGGATGATGTTGTGTGGGCCGCTGGTTTGGAGGAGTGCAGTGACTCTGATAAGGTGATGCTCTGAGATACACCCTCCGTAATGGTCATATAAAAGCCGTATCACTTCCTTATGAGCTGAAGGTGAGAGAAAAACATAAAATAACTTAAAATATCACATTTTTGCATTGGTAATTCTGAACTCTGAATAGTGAAATAATCTTAAATCTAGTCAAAATATCTAATATTTATCATTATTAGATTAAAATTTTACTTTTTTGCTTGTTTTAAATCATCTTATCTAGTGAAACTGTCAAATAATGTGACTTGCATCAATTGTTAAAAATGATCTGCCTTATGTATTGAAACAAGAAAGAATTATCAAAATTGTCTGATTATTTATTTAGATAAAATAACTTAAAACAAGTAAACATATCTAGACATGAGATGATTACTCTTACAACATTTTTACAACAATCTCTTACTGAGAACTATTAGATATATTGTCTAGATTTGAAATCTTATCACTTCTTTCATAATTTCTATAAAAATACATCACCAAAACTTCTTTCAACCTCAGGTCACAGTATCACTTACAGTTAACTATGAAAATAAACAAAACTGCAAACAGCCTTTTTAGATAAAAGGGTCTCTTTTCACTAACTTAGGAGTAGGGGTGCTGATCTAGAATCAGTTTTTTGTGACAACAACCATCATAAATACAGCGGAATCTGATCCAGGATCAGTTCTGCTTTGTGAATACCAGCCTTAGTGTTGTCTGAAATGGTTGTCCTTAGTGGTGGAGTTTTGTTCATTTTTATAGTGCACAGTAAGTCATACTGTGCTCTAAACCACACTGGCATTGGTGGACCTTAATGAAGACCTGGATGCAGGTTGAAAGAAGTTTTACTAACATATTTTATAGCAACAATTTGGCTTATTTGGGTACCCTTACATAAAAGGTCACATGAATTTCACATGTGGAAAAAAACTTTAAAAATGTGTTATCACATGAAAAAACATGTGTTAACATGAAAAAGTGTGAAACGTTTGATTTTCTTTAAGGATGACTTTTGAGTTCTTGTGTTTGTTAAAAATGTTAGCCTTGCCACTCCAGTTCTAAACAAAAGAAGCATAATTTCCCCAAAATGGTTTTGCTGAATGTCTACATCTGGAGCAAGTGAGAAATTGGGTAAATTAAACTATTCCTTTGAGGGAACCTTCCACTTGCCTGTTTTACTCTACTCTCTGTCCTCTCTACACCCATTCCCCTTTTCTCTTATGATTCTATATGACTTCATCTTACTCACATTAATCATGACATAAAGCATTTTCATTTGAATATTGTGTGGTTCCTACCTTTCTGTGCAGGTACTGTGAGTTCAGCTGTCTTCCTCTGACACTCCCCCCTGTGGAGACTGTTGTAAGTGACAGCATTAGATGTGACTGTGAGGTGTGCCAGTGTGTCTTCTCCACTAATATTATGCACCTCCACAATCACGTCAAAGTCTGTGCCATGAACAGCCTGGGCATGTTTAATGGAGAGCTGCAGCTGACCGGGCCCTCCGTTTTGCTTGGCCACTCGTTTCCCTGCTTTCTCATAGACGTCTCGCTCCTTTATAGAACCTGTAGAAAGATTAAAAAAGTTCAGAATGTGTAGCTGGTGCAGGTGAAACTGTCCTCTAATACATACAGCAGATGATCAGAGATAAGCTAAATAAAATTTAAAAAGAAAGCAGGCTGTAAGGTACTCAGATGTTACCTTCAGGGTATTTGTATTCTCCAGTGATGTCCTCTCTGTACTCTCCATGCACACTTTTGGTGCTGATGTTTCTTCCCACTGTCCCGCTATTCAATGAGGCTTGTGTTCGCTCCCCATCTGGATGAATGATCCAGCAGACCAGGTCTGCGTTCACCTCCGAAAACACGAATGGAGCATCATACTTCATAGCCACCTCTCCCTCTTTCACCGCCCGGACTGGACATGGCCCACAGCAGAACACACCTATGCAGACAACGGATCCAACAAATAGTGGTTGCAGGTGTTTAGGAGCATAGCAATGATTCAAACTTCAATTTTGAAGTTGTGACAGTCTGTGACTAATAAAAACAGAAAGTAGTAATTAGTGAAGTCTGTTTGATTTGTATTCTAATGAAAACAGTACAAAAATTTTATGTTTGATTTTCACTGTAAGAAAAGTTGGAACCACTGTGGGTCACAACTTTCTTTCTAATAGCACTTACTATTTGTTTGAGGACAGAAGACACCAGCTGATCCAGCTTTGAAAGTGGATTTTTTTTGGCATTCTTCCATTACAGAAGTCTTGAGCTGTAACATGTGGTTCCTTTACAGAGTGCAAGTTTACCCATGCTACGGGCACTAATACACCTCCATACCATGACAGACCCTGACTTTTGAACTTTACACTGATAACAATTGGGATGGTCTTTTTCCTCTTTCGCCCAGCACAACATCCATTATTTTCATAAACAATCTGAGAGGTTGACTCGAGGTATCGAAGGTTACGGGCATTCAGTTGTGGTTGGTCTTGCCCTTTATGCTCAGGGATTTCTCCAGATTCCATAATGCTTTTGATTATATTATGGACCATATAGATTAATATACCTAAACTCCTCGCAGTCGCCCATTGGGGAACATTGTTCTTAAACTGTTGGATTGTTTTCTGATGCAATATTTGGCTAAGGTGGCGAGCCTCGACCCATTCTTTCTCATAACAAAAAGGTCTTTCCTGGATTGTATGACCTGTTTAAGACTTTTTTTAACATTTTACAATGCTCTTGATCTTAAATTGCCTCTGCCATTTTGGAATGTAGTGCATACATCAATTTCAGGATGAGTGAATATTTACATAAAATAAAGTTGACAAGGTAAAACATTAAATATCTTGTCTTTGTACTGTTTTTGTTAAAAAAAGTAACATACATTATGTCAACCTGTTAGCAAGATCTGCCCCGTGTATCATTTTAGAGGGAACTGTCCCTTTAAATCCTACCATCACTCCTTTCCTGTGGGGTTGGGTCAAGTACTTGCCACCCATCATAAGCTTTCGGAAGGTCCTCTCTGCTCATCCAGGACTCCACCCAGCAGTGGAAGTTCCTGAAATAAGTAGATAACACAGTTCATTAAATGAGCAAGATAAAGTGTACCTGGCACCTAAAACATTGAAAACACCACAAAGCATCTCACCAGATCATGTCTTTTCTCCCATCAGATACACTTTCCAGCTGCTCGTTGAACAAGTAGTCCACACTGATGTTGCCATCGGTGTCATGGGCTGAGGAGTAGTTTGTGATACATCGGGTAGGAATGCCCAGACAGCGAAGAACTGCAGAAAAGTGAAATTATGTCAGAACTAGGCCTGGATATCGAAATTCAACCTTTATGGTATCAACCAAATCACTCTATCGAACTCTATATCATTTAATATCTGAGTAGTTGATCTTATCAGCATCTGTGATATGTGCTTGTTCCTAAATCTAGACCGCTGATCGGCTATTAAAATCATGTTCCGTGAGTGTGTTAGTAACATCAGCATTTCTTCATTAGTCTGCAATCCGTTGCAGTCACTTTCAGCACCTCACACTCATGTGTGGTTTGGTTTGTAAATTAAAAGAAGGTATTGGCAAAGTGTCATTTAGAAATCTGTATTGAAGTGATGATATCGGTATTGGTATCAGTATCAAAACATTTTGAATGATACACAGCCCTGTCAGTGTGAAGGCATCTGTTTCTTACTTGTGCAGGCCACAGCTGAGAACACCCAGCACTGCCCATAGCGCACACTTTCAGCCCCACCCTCGCTCCAGCGCCTCAGAATGGGCACGCTGCCAGTCCACCGTGTGGGTGGCACCCCATCGCTGTACTCCCCATCCCAGCGTCCAGACACCACCCCACGGTCATCATTTGCATTCACCTTTCAGTGCACAAACACTGCTGTTTATTACAGAGCTTTTTCCAGTTAGGTCCACAATGACATTCTTTAAAATATCTGTCCGGCACACATTGAGGATCAAATGAGGGCATGCCTCTATGCTGCTTGCTGCTTCTTGGGTCTAAATCAGCAGTCGATGATATAAATGGAGAGTAATGAAGGTACAGGACACTTGACATTTGCCTTACCATTGCAGTAATTGTTCTGCTGACATAGACAGGATCGGCTCTCTTAGTGATATCCATCTGAGAGTTTTTCAGGGCAGTGGGGGAGTTATCCAGTATCTCAAAGCAGATGTCCACCACACCTTTTTCAAACTATTGAAAAAGAAAACAACAGATACAATATGGATCTGTTCATTTGTGATATCTTGATAAATCTTAAGTATTTATATGCCTAAGGCTTCTAAAAGAATAAGTAGATAAATTTAGATTCATTCAAAGGGCTATCATGGAAAAACAAATTTTCCTCACTTTTCTTGAAATGAAAGAGTCTGATGTAGTATGCAGACATTTTTTTAAGTTTTAAAACATTCTGTTAACTCCTCAGACCATGCAGTCCAGATAAAGATACTAAGTTGTAAAAAGAGCCCATTTTGAACATATTGTTTTTCATTCGTCTATTTAGCCTACAGCAGTTTAGCTCCATCCGTTTATCGTGAAGTTATAAGGAGTGTTTCAGCCTGAATGAGTCATATCATAGGGCAGCCAATCAGCTCTGTGGTATTTACATAAACTATATGGACAAAAGCATTGGGACACCTTCACATTACACCTACAGGAGCTTTTATGACATCTCATTCTAAATCCATTGGCATTAATATAAAGTTGGCGCCCCCCCTTTGGAGCTATAGCAGCTTCCACTCTTCTGGGAAGCTTTTTTACAAGATTTTGGAGTGTGCCTGTGGGAATTCTTGCCCATTCATTCAGAAGGGCATTTGTGAGGTCAGACAATGATGTTGGACGAGAGGGTCTGGCTCACAATCTCTGTTCTAGTTCACGCCAAAGGCGTTCAGTCAGGTTGAGGTCAGGGCTCTGTGCGGGCCAGTCAAGATTTTCCACACCAAACTCACCCAACCATGCCTTTACGGACCTTGTTTTGTGCACCGGAGCACAGTCACACAGTCATGCTGGAACAGAAAAGGGCCTTCCCCAAACTGTTCCCACCTGTTGCTCCTAGGTGCTTCCATTTCACAATAATAGCACTTACAGTTGACCAGGGCAGATCTAGCAGGACAGAAATTTCACAAACTGACTCAAGGCAGAGAAGGCACCCTATCACAGTGCCATGTTTAAAGTCACTTGAGTTCTTCACTATGACCCATTCTACTGACAGTGTTTGTCTATTAAGATTGCAAGGCTATGTGCTTAATTTGATCCACCTGTTAGCAATGGGTGTGGCTGAAACACCTGAATGCAATAATTAGGAGGGGTGTCCCAATACTTTTGTCCATATAGTGTCAACACACAGTAACAGAAAAAAAGCCTGTTTCATTGATAAAGAAAGGTGATGAAAGAGAGGTCGGGAAAGAGTCATGCAAAAATGGATTATTCATTACATTAAACCACACATAATAACATGAGTGAACCTCAAGGAAAACAGTAATATGCTAAAAAGGCAGGATATAGGATTTTTAAAGCTGTAAATTTAGACTTTGTAACTGTCAAAAACTAAAGTGCCAAAATGTCATCTTAAGGTCTAAAACTCAATTTGCAATTATGTTTTTTTTTCTCATAAAGAGATTTTAGAGATTTTACAGTTCAGGTAAAGAGAAAACTTCAGGCCAAAATTCACTTCAAGAGCCCATATACTACATTATTCTTGCATTTTTATGTTTGTGTGGGTTTCTGTTCAAAAACAGTCATAATTCATTTACATTCATTTTCCAACCTCTCTTTTTCCCTTAGACTTAAACAGGTTGTTTTTGGAACACTGTCTTCAAGATTAATCTAGGTAAATGTTCTCTGTTCTGACGAACTGCCCTGTATTCAGAAAGGAGTCTGGGTTGAAACACTCTTTATAACTTCAACATGAATGGGCGGGGCTAAACTTCTGCAGGCTGAATAGGTGGATATATGAAAATGTGATGGCTTGTGTGACATCACAAAACCAGTAAATTCAAAACAACTTAGTTTCCATAAGGACTGTATAGACTAGGGAGTGAACAGCATGTTTTGAAACTTTAACAATCTTTCCATACAACTTTTTTATTTATTGTGAGGACAATTCCATTTCCCATAATATGGACCCTTTAAGATGTTCTCTGCCAGTGACCACTGGTGGTCTCTTTCTTTGCTGTGTTCTCTGCAGAAGAGTAAAACCAACATTTAGGCCAGCAGTAGGTGAGACCGAGAATGTAAGGCACTATAGGGAGTTTACTTTATACTATATCTTACCCTATCTTCTCTTTGTCTCTCATTCTCTCTCTTGCTTTCTTGTTCTGCCTCTTCTTGTCTAAGGGCAGACAGGCCTTTGTTTGCAAGGCAGGCATTCTCACACATCTTGAGCAGAAATGTTTGACATCCAGGGAGAGAGATTACACTGGCCGGACAGTCCTCTGTGTCTCCTCTGGCACACAGCTGCCACAATTCACACACTCTGCCAACAAACTGCTGACTTCAGCCACAGATTCCAGCAGCATGCAAAACCGCCCATATATCCTACCCTTCTGTCAGCTCCCCCAGACCATGACAGCATCTCAGTGAAGGCCTTGACCTTGGGTTCATTCAAACTGCTAGCTTTGCTCTGTGGAGGACTGCCTTACCTAAGACGATCTTCAGTGTGAGTGTCTGTGTGTCCTTGTACTTCATTTTACCTGTCCAAAATTCCATGGCAGAGAAGTGATCTGGTCCCATGAGCCCTGGTACAGGATGCCGTTCTCATTTAAGATGTACTCCTGCAGAAGCTCCTCATCAGGCATGTACACAGAGTCCTCTGTGGAGACAAGTGCATAGACAGGGAGGAACAAGACGTTAATGCAAGCAATACGGTATTATTGTCTGTTTACATTTAATGCATATAAGTAAGACTAAATGTAAATGCAGAGGATAGCAAAACCATCCATACTACTGCTGGGTGATATATTGTCTGTACCAGAGACATTCCTTTTTTTGTTTTGGTGATAAATTATTATTGATACATTTCCTGGATAATGAATAGAATGTATGAGAGTAGACAGAAATAAGTTTGAGGCGCTAGAAGTCAGTATATTGACATGCAGTATATCCTGATTTTGACACACTGTGATATTGCTATCCATATAGGTGCACTTTGTAGTTCTACAATTACAGACTGTAGTCCATCTGTTTCTCTGCAAACTTTATTAGCCCCCTTTTAACCTGTTCTTCAGTAGTCAGGACCACAGCAGAAGAGGTGGCTCATTCTCAGCACGGCAGTGACACAGACGTGGTGGTGGCATGTTAGTGTGTGTTGTGCTGGGAGTGGACCAGACACAGCAGTGCTGCTGGAGTTTTTCAACACTTGATAGTATTGAGGTAATGCGGTCAGTTCCATAAAAGTATTGGTTTCTTTACCCAGCCTTAATAATGAAAATTATATCATCATATAATTTTCATTTTTAGTTTTTCACTTCCATGCCCTGTAGTTTAGGGTTAGGGTTAGGGTTAGGGTTAGGCTCATGCTATCAATGACCTGAGTGTTTACTACAACATTTGCTGGGAGCTTCAGATTGTTTTGAAAAGTTCAAAATATATAAAAGCTAAATAAAGTTTTCTTTCTGGAAAACTATTTTTCCACCTGGTTTATTTTTATAATACTGTGAAATGTTTCTCTAGCTTTGCAGTACTGTGATTTTACAGTAGGGTGACATACATCTTCTTTGTCCAGGATATGTCTTCATTTTGGGACCTAAATCACATCTGGCCAAGAATTGTAAATTGCCTAAAATGTTTGGGATTTGCCTTTGCATTCATGTTGACATTTGCTTTCTACAATCTGCCCTGTGTCGCCCTCTTGTCCTCTTTTTCAAAAACCCTATATTATAGTACTATGATCATTATACTTCACCCTGCTATTGCAGGGCTGCACAAAGCCCTGTCTTGTAGCAAGAAGAGAAAATATTCTAGCACACCTGCAGACCAGGGGTTGTAGAGCAGGTAGAAGGAGTGAGAGGTGGTCTTCTCTATGACGTGGCCCTCGGCAGAGAGCAGGAGCACGATGACACTGTACAGGCCCACAGAAGCGTCTGCCGGGCTGTGGACATGCAATAACACCTCATTCTGAGCAGCCTGCTCACTGAACCACCATTTACCATGAGCTGCTCTTGAACCTGACACCCTCATAACCACCTCGCCTTTTTTACCTGTAAAAAACACATACACTGTTGTACATGCAGGTTTTCAGTTGGCCTGTGTATTACTGTTGCTAAATACTTCTATCTTTTTATATTTTTAAAGATAAAATGCCATATAATGCAGACAAAAAACAAACTCTTTGTGTTCTATCCACTACATATTAGTCTGCTCCTTACAAGGAGTAATTAAAAAAAAAAACTTCTGTATTGTATGCAAATGAAATATATATCCACTAAATGTATAATTAAACAACTTCTCTGTACAAACACCTTAAATTAATCTACTTCATCTTTTAACAGTTTCTGAATCTGTAGACATACTCTTCTTGAAGCTACACTATGTACGTTTTGGGGATTTGGAGACCTGTACGGTGGAAATGTGTAATTGCACACCACATGCGGAAGAATATGTTGAAAGAGTGTTCAAAATGAACATGTCTTCTGAGGATGTAAGTGAATTATCTACTATTGTCACCATCATCAGTATTATGTTGATTTTGCATTTGAGACCTAAATGTCAAGCTGGACCTTCTTTTTGAGCCTGTTCATGAGTTGTTAATACATAATGACAGATGATGTGCTTTGAAAAACTCTAAAGAGTCCTGTTATATTTAAACTATTATTTCAGGCTTTACAGGGCGATTCACAGCAGGCCACCATAATTTTAGCATGTTTTTTTCTCTTGTAATGCTACATCTTTTAGTTTTAGCAAAATCTTACATAGTGCAGCTTTAATCACCACATTTTAGTAATATCAGTATTCCTGTGTCCCTTCCTCACTGCTCTATCAACCCATTAGTCCTTCCAGCATTGGCTATGATTGATTTTAGCCAGCTATGCTCACCTAGATGGAGAACAAGGGCAAGGTGGTGGTCTGGAGGCTGAGGTGGGCTGTCTGTGTACTGTAGCAGCAGAGAAAAGGGCTGTCCGCGGCGCACCACCAGCTGCTCCGTGTCCATCTCCTCTGTGTGGTGGGCACGGTTATTTGTCTGATACTGGAGGTCCACACGTTGGAATACACCTAGAGGAGAAAGGGACGTGAGAGGCATGAAGAAAACAAACATTTAATATGTTTATGCACTACTACTACTAATTTTGTAGTGTATGTAATTCTAATATGCACAGTCCCAACTTTTACAAGTACATTTTAGGATTCCATACTTCTTATAAACCTCCTTTCTCATTCAACTGAGATCAGACTGCAGCCACTCTCAGTGCCATGAGTTAAAGGCAAGTTCCATATTTGTATAAACAATACAGACCCTAGTAAACACTACTCTGTCCTTATGCTGACCACTGACCTGAACAAACATTAGCAGAAGGATTTTATTACACTTTATAACACCACAAATTGCTACTGAATGCAAAGGTATGACCTGAGCAAAGAGTAAATACTCTGCTATCAGAAGTAAGATAAAAGGGCCACATGACAGGATTAGGTCACGGAGCTCTGTAATTCATTTCGCAGATGTTATTCATACATTCAGACATAACTGTGGTTGAGCGCCCTGCCAGCTCCATTTGGCATCCTAGTAGCCATTCTTGGCCAGAGAGTTCATTTATAGCAGTACTCTTCCTAATGTTTATTCTAGTTACATTGATACTGATACTGTATTAGTTATGCTGTTTACATCAGATAATTTAATTAGTTGTCATCTGAATGCAAAAATGTATTTAAAAAAAACTCTGAATACACTTAAAATTTACACCTGGCAAGCTAAACGTTTGTGTAAGTGTTCAGTAATTAATGCAAAGAATACATCACCCAAATCTGCTACAGCAAATAAGAACTAAGAATTTTCAACATCTGTGGAATGATCTGAAGAAAAGTTCCTTACCGTTTTGCTTGGACATTGTCAGACTTCTGTACTGCACCAGTAAATGATAAATCCAATCTCTGGTTCTTGCAGCGATGCTTTCTAAAGTTCCTTTGGTTCCACGTAACACAGCACAGAAAAGTTTTCTTCCCTTTGCTACCTTTTCCTTCATTAGGACTCTGTATTTATAGAACACAGAGGAGCCCATCCCCCTGACACAGCCTGCCCCCCCTCTCTTTCTCTCGCTCTTTCGCTCCATCTCTTTCACTCTCTCTCAAACAGGACTGACAAAACTCAAAGACTACCCTTCATTTTGTTCATTTTCATTCAAAACAGCCATTAAGTACAAGTTATAGAAACAGAAACTTACACTCAGAAACCTGAACAACTAAATATATTAACATTTCTTCAGTATTTATTGTGTCCACACTATGCCTTTATTACAGCTTTCATTCTTTCAAAGAGAGTTGGTTTCAGTTCTGCAAAGAAATGTGCAGGGTTATTTTTCCACCTCCAAAGTTTAATCTTAAACACATTTGCTCATGTTAAAACTTGTGCCTTATGGTGGTCAGTCCATTGTTTTGAAAACTCCAGCAGCTTATTTTGTTGACTTTCAAATTTTTTACTTTTTTGTCTATTTCCTTTTCTCAGTGTTGACTTTTTGACAGCTACACATCCTTTCAGGCCCATAGTGTTAAACTGCCTTATCACAATGGAAGGATGGACAGAAACACCTGTGGATTTTTTCAGATCTAAAGCAAGAGTGGAGCTTGATTCTCTCCTCACTCTAAAAGATGAAAGCTCTAAGTTCTGTTTATCTGATGCTGACAGTTTGGTGGTCTACCAGGTCTTGCACAATGTTGGACGTTCCATTTTCTCTATATATTTTAAACATATTCTGAACTGCAGGTTTGGAAGCTCCTGCTGTTTCACTTATTTACCTTTGACACTCCCCTTCTTCATGCACATGGATCATTTAATACCTAATCTCCTCAGAAATGTCCCCTGAAAAATAGATAACTTGTACTTAATGGCTGTTTTGACAGGAAATTAAATAAATGAAGGTTGGTCTCTGATTTTCACACAGTATTGTAGGTATACACAAACACACACACACTCACAGACAACCTCAGACACACAGACACACACATCCACTCAGTTTGCTTTATGGTCTCTGATGTCACACACACAAAGATGTCTGCAGAATGTGTGTTGGTGTGCACACACAGGCTCATGAGTGCAAACTCTGACAAATATTTTCCTCTGAGAGCGAAAAAAGAATCGTGCCTAGAGAATTTACTATGCCCTGCGTCAGCGGTTTGCCTTGCTACTGTCTCTGTACCTCAAAAAAACACAGATATCTTTGTTTCTAACTGTGAGTCTGTAATGACTCATGGTCGTTCTGCTTTCTCAGCTCTCTTCCAGTAAACTCTGATAGTACTGCTCCATACTTTGTTATCATGTCTCATAGCCATTCCTAATTTTTGTTTTAACATTCTGGTTGGAACAGAAGTTCCCATAACAGCAGGTGGCCAGATGGAACAGGTGGAAACTAGGCTATAGTTTCTGACATCAGTTAAAGGAATGGTTCACCAAAAAATCAAGCGTACATAGTTTTTTTCCTTACCTCAAATGTATTTGATTGGCCAAGACATGATTGGTGTCCAGGTTGTTTTTTTTTTAGTTTTGCAGTGGCTCTGCAAAATGTCAAATTTAGGGTGGCATAGACTTCCATTACTTTGGAGCTACATTAGCTTGTTAGCAAACACCAACTACATCCTGACCAACGAACCATGCTTGGGTAGGAGGAAAATTGTGTACGTTTGATTTTTTTTTTCCTCCTCCATCGACAACATAAATTCAACATTCTGACAACATGTGATTGGTCAAATTTTGGAGTTTCAGGGAAGAACCCCCCCACAATCATTTCTGCAGTTTGAGGTATGGATGTGATTCTCTACACTTGTGACATTTTGAGACATTAAAAAGCAGCAGCTAATATGAATTAGCTAATACATGGCACCACAAGAGGGAAAATGCTTCTGTGGTCCAACTTTATATTCACAAGAATTGGAGTGAAGGACATCGGTTGGACCTCTACCTGTTTCTCCTGGCACAATAAACTGAAAACCAAACCTTCTAACTCCAATAGTTCAGGACATTTTCCAAGGTCTACAGCATGAGGCATATGGACAACTTTATCCCTTTTGTGTATAATTAATGCCAGCATTATTAGTTACTCTAATGAAAAGCCAACTTTTCGAACCTTCTAATACATCAAATATCAGATATATATTCTCAAAATTAAAACTCTGAGCAAAACTGAACTATTCCATTGTCTTTATTCAACTGTAAATTTCAACACAGAGTCAAACTTGCTACATGGCATTATTAGGGAAATTTGGCTAGCATTGATTATTCAATAGCAGTCTTTTTTTGGATGAATGATGGTATCATGGCAGTTGGTTGCCTAGTAGGAGGTTTTACAAACCATTTTCTCATACGCTAGCCATATAATAGTATATTATTAGTAGTGTAGTAGTACATGTTATAAGCATGGTGTTACATTACACTGATATGATTTTGTGTGTGTCAAAGCATTAGGTGTAGATTGCAGAGATATCTAAGATGTAGTCATCATTTTACTTAGTATTCACATGAGTGTTTTGATGAACGAGATGTGGCTTGGTGAAAATGTAAACGTGTGAGGTATAAGCCAATGGTCCAGATGTCAGTGGGAGGCAGCTGACAAGAAACGAAAAAATATCTGACAACTGGGCTACATTCAAATTGCATTAGGCAGTCTTAGTGGAATTTTAACCGCTGCGAGCCACTGAGATTATTAAGTTCCTCTTACCAAAAATAAAGCCTTACACATTGTATTGTCTGTGTTGGAAATAGATAGGAGCACTGACCTCCCCATTCAGTGGCATGGCAGTGGATTATCACTATGCTGTTAGATTGCTGGGGTGGTTCTTGACTTCTCTGATACACAGAAGGATCTCTGTCTCTGCTGACATAGTCATTGGTGGTGGTGGATAACAACCTACTCCACCCAGGCAACAGAAGGAGAGAAACATGATTTGTGTCTGTGTGTGAAAATGAGCCATGGAATGCTGGAACAGTCCGGTTTTGGGAAGTGAATGGGATGCCCCCACCCCACCACCAAACCTCCCCATCACCTCTTCCTCAGGACATACAAGTGGCGAAGCCACAAGCTCCTATACACTTCTTTTGTGGAATTTTCTGTTGCAATCTTATCTGTGTCCTACTGGGTTTAACTTAAATGGTATATTTAACCTTTAAAGTGTATTGCTAAGCATCAATTCTAATCTCAGACAAGTTGGCCAACCACTGTTCACTAATTTGTTCATTCCTGCCATGCAGCTAGCTTTGCCTCAGAATTATTTTATCCTCATAATTTACTATTCCACTAGTAAATGGAATAAGTGGACAGGAAACAAGCCTACACACATAGTTACACAGTTACTGTTCCCACACTTAAACCGAGATGGGCTGAAATAACAAATATCTTTCACTCTGTGATGTCAGGTTTGGCCAAAGGATGAAAAATACACTTCCTGTAGGTGTGAGGCAAAGAGAGGCACTGTCACCTCAAATTCCAAGAAATACCCCAAGTGAGTCACCAAACAAGTCCTGAGGGAAAGCTAACAGTAGAGAACCTGGGTGGACCAGTCTGGTTTATAGACTCCAAGTCATCTCACAGAGATGAATACTTCTTGTTTTAGTTAGGCCTACTGCTTCCTTCTCTAAAACATGCCAGCCCACAGACCAAGTGTGCAGACATCTTTGTCCATAACTCTGTATGTGTGTAAGTGGGGCCAATGCAGTACTCACTCAGATGTAATAATGTAATTCTTTGCCAGCCTTCCACTGAGGGTAAATGTTGATTGTAGCGTTCGTGTAGTGCTTTCAATTACTTTTTTGAGAACTGAGAAAAAATAGATTTAATGTTATAGAAAACATACAGGGTATGGAAAATGTATCTATCAACAGAATCAATATATCAATATAAATAAATATCTAGCAACCTGAATTACATTCATTGCCAGACATATGGGTACCATAACAAATTTTTTCAGTAAATGCACAAATTCTTCCATAAAAGTACTGAAATTAAGATGTTTTGTTATTCACAAATGTATTTCCTTTGTTTGCATTGGAACAACACAAAAAAACTGAGAAAACAGCAGAATCTCATCTTATTCCACACAGAACTCTGAAAACTCAACAGTATTGCTGGCACCTTTTAATAACTGTAAGGGATAAATGGATTTCAAGCAGGTAAATCTTCCTTAATTAGTATTTAAACAGAGTTTAAAAAAAGAAAGGTTGAGTCAACTTTTGTGTTATGTGTCTGTGTGTACATGGGCAATACCAAAGCTATAAGTTCCTCTCTAGAGATCTTAATGTTCCTCTGTCCTCTGTACACAATATCGTCAAGAAGAACCTCTTTGCATGTGGACTAAGGAGCAAGGTTGATGAAAAATTGTAGCAAAGGACTGTTTGAATGGTGCAGAAATTTTGGATCATCAACAAAAAAAAAAGACAAAATAGTTAGAGGTGTAAGAAACTTATTCATGCCTACAGGAGATGCTTGATTTCAGTTACTCTTTCCAGAAGGTGTACTAGCAAATATTATGTTGAGATTCCAATAATTTCGTCCGTAACATTTTTTAATGGATATACTAATTTTGAGTGGGCACAGTGTGACGGATCAACAGAAACCAGATGCTCGCGGATAAAAAGGAGAATATCAGGTTTACTTCCAGAATCAAAATCCAAAAGCGTAGTCAAAGAACAGGCAATGGTCAAATCCAGCAAACCCAGCAGAAGTGTTACGATAAGCATAACACCAGACAAACAAACACAAAAGGGTAAGGCAAAAGACGTAGTCGTAGAGGTAGGCAAAAGGTCAAAACACAAATCAAAACACAGTCCAGCAAAGGTACAAAGGGATTGAGCAAAAAGGCAGAGTCAAAAAACAAAGCAAACGGTCAAAAACAGGATACAAACAATGATGAAGAGCGCTCAGTAGTTTACAGTGAAACAATACCTCACAACTAGACATGACTAAAGCCCGGGCTTATATACTAAACTACAAGTCACATGACTGCACACACAGGTGAA